TCCAAGTCACGGGATTAATAAATATAGACATAGTTTATTTTGAAACCTCTTTCAAAAGGAAAGGCAATATTTACCCAGATAAATACAATGACATATTAATAGAAACTTCGGGAAAGCAGACAAAACCTAAAATAAGGTTTAAAACGTTACTATGAAGAAAGGAAAGGTAATGCAAAGATAAGGACATGCGTCGCTCACTCATAGATATATATGCTGCTAGACTTCTACTGCTTGAACATATATGCAACACGCCGCGGTTTCTTGAAAGCAAAATGCACAATAACGCGCTGATTAAAGTCATGCATCCCAGAAATAACGTCTCTGTGAATGGATAAAACAGCCAAGGAATTTAATCTATCTTGCTTCATTGTGTTTCTGAGATACGTTTTAATACGCTTCAGCGTGCTGAATGTTCGCTCTGCGTCGGCGGAAGAAATAGGCGTCGTCAAAATGATGTCCAGAAATTTTTCAGACGCCGCAAAGGTAGTTACTAGAGTGTTATCTATGAGAAACCCATAGAGCGCGCAAGTTGATGTGATGTTCAAAAAAGTTTGATTGGTGTATATACATCGCACTTCATTTTCCAATTTACCCACGTTTTTCATGTGGTAAAATTTGGAGACAGTAGCCAACAAATGGATGGGAAATTGACGTGCAAATTTTGAAAAATTTTCGGGGTTCATCAAAGAGAACGCGGCAAGGTGTTCAGTGCGCAGACGATCGCCTATTTGATTCACCAGAATGTCACAGCATTCCTTTGCAGACAAAATCAAACGCTGCGTTGTTTGCCCGCGGCGTAAAGAAGCACTCCATGTGTCGTCGTATTTTATTGTTTCCCGGATACGAGATACAGCATCGCAGAAGTCTGAAATACACGACTGCACAGACGCTCCATCCATTAGCCTTGACTGCAATGCGCCGTATAATACATCCACGTGATATTGTGGAGAAAAAAGCGAGAAAAAATGAAAACTCACCATCTTCTAGCAGACGCTTTAGACCTGCCGCCTCCCTCACAGAGCGTTCGTCCCAAACCGGAGAGCTCTGAATGCCATTGAAACACTCAATGAGCTCAGACCTAATTTCGGACACGCCCTGCACCACGCGTGATTGGAAGTTCCAACGTGTTGGTGGACAAGCTGGGAGACGGCGGCTACATATCTGGCGAAGGAGGTCAGAGCGCTTCGGCGAAACGGAAAAAAATGAAGAAAACCCGAAACATTTGCAAAAAATATACGGACGAGAAGGGTATCAAGACACATATTTTTAATAACGAGGTTAAATTGGTGTGCATAACAATGTAAAATATGCGCATGAGGAAAATCTTCTTTTATATAAACTTGAACACCATGTTTCGACCCACTCATGACTGCCGCGCCGTCATAAGTTTGAGCTATCAATTTTGACTTCGCGTTGTAAGGCTGTAACACTTCTTTCAGTACAGCCGATATCCCGCAAGCCGTGCGATCAACGATTGGTACAAAGCTGTGAAATCTCTCGGTAGGTTTACCATCTTTCACAAACCGAAAAATCACAGCCAGTTGGTAAACGCACGTGATGTCAGTTGTCTCGTCAGACTGAATCGAAAGGAACTGGCAATTCTCAATTTCCAGAGCCAAATGTTGTAAATAAATTTTATACATTGAGTCGAGCAAATCATTTTGGATATCCTTAGATGTCCCTTTCGAAACAGTTGCGGCATCAAGATGATCTCTCAATACTGTATCTAGGGATGCGGTGTATTCCACCATATCCAAAAATACCCTTCTATTAGAAGAGCCAGCCCGTTCATCGTGCCCACGGAGGGACAGCTCGTGACAACCAATGAACTTCAAAACATCTATCAATCGACCAGGAACATTGCGGTTTTTCTCGACGCTTTGATTGTGCCGACGAATAGAAACCGCGCGTCCTTCATCCAACTGTGCTGCAATATTAACATTTCCGAATGTTCGGTATTTTACTGCATTGTCCAGATGCTCCATAGAAGATTGATGATCCCTGGCACGCTCGGAAAGATGTTTAAGATCTCTAAAACCAAATTTACACCAACGTGAGTCACGGGCGGTAGCAAAAAATACCCCACGGGCGGTAGCAAGCCTCCGTCATGGGATTGTTCCAGTGAACAATTTTTTGGTTGATAAGGCCCAAGACGTTGTACCTCTAATTTTTGTTCCAGCGGCAGCTGCGAAAACGGAGTGCGAAGTAGTGCATCAACCTTATTCATTATGACGTCTAAGGCTAAGAAATGCGGAGCCGGAAAGAAGTGAGGAGCTCAAAAGGAATGTGGAAAATTGAAAGCAAATGGACTAAAGGTCTCTAACTGAATCAAATAGCGAAACAAGCGACTAAAACGAAGGCGAGGAAACTATCAACTCTTCAAGCAACCAACGAACGAGAAGGAATGCGTGAATATGTCAACACGTTTTTGTAAGAAACGTCGACATTGTGTCGTCATAATTTCGGGGCTAGCCCCGATCGGCCCCGATGATTTAGTAAAAGAAACAGAAAACAAACGAGACAAACGCGGCGAGTGGAAGATAAAAGAGAGAATACGATATACAATGAGCAACCGGGGCAAAATCGGCGTCGCCCCGTCAACGTTCGGCGAAGGCTTTGCGAGCGAAAAAGGAACCATGTCGGGAGAATATGGCTAGTGTAGACAGTCTGTGCAACCGATATTGAGGTATTTTTCGAATATTTTTTTTATACCGAATAAACAACCGTGGCATTGCCCCGGTTGGCCCTATTCACGCGCCGCCACTGGTAAAACTACTTAACGCTGGGTAAACCCTTAGTATTTTGCAATTTCAGCGAAGCAAATGGTGTCTTAACAACACTGCAAACTATCCAACATTGAATCTGACGTTGCTGGTCATTTTCGCGCTAGAGTCTTAATGAACAAATATTTTTTGAATGTTTATGATTAAACTGTTAAATACAACTGCATTAAATTCACAACCGCATCCAGATGCACATTTCTAAATAAAATATATATAGAATGAGACTCGAGTTCAGGTTTGAATTGATGGCTTCGCTGCGGAGTGCGGGCACAATAAGTATTCTTGCAGCTATATCTTATATTATACCCACTCATGATGAAGCTCTTTCTACGTCAGTGGTTTCCGTATCTCTTCTTCGGGCCAGGTATTTTCGACACTTTGTTTTGCATATTCTTTAGACTAAAGTTCTAAAGAAAGCTTTGTAATAAATCGATTCTTCACAAACAAAATATTTGTTTATACTGTCAATCAAATCCTTTCAAGTGTGTTTATGTAAAACAGGTCACTGTGAAATTCATCAAAGGTGAGATCATCTAAGAAATGGCCTTTTTATTCTGTCTTTACCGGCTGCATTTGATTGTAGATTCTACGCTTGTAAAGTACTACATGGTACATAAGGACCCAAACATGAAGTTAATGATAAGACTTGAGTCCGTATCAATCTAGCTCAGGGGTGGGCAATTACTTTCCTGAGTGGGCCGGATGCGGATAATAGACTTGATTACTGGGCCGGATGACCAAAATCAATATGATCAAAAACGGTTTATTTGAAATTCGCAACTCGCACAAGTCTATTAGTCAATCGCCTTCCCGTTTCCCTAATCGCGTTTAAGTGATGTAAAGCATCAGGTATTTGCAGCAGGGGATATAGTAAATAACATTGAAATATTAGCGTTGAAAGACATCGAAAATGTCATGAGTACAGACAGAATAATTTGAGTACTGTAAATCATGTACTAGACCAGTGGTTCTCAAACTTTTTTCGCCCCATACTGTACTTTTAACGTTATCATCGCCCCAAAAAACTACAACAAAAACATCAAGTTACAAACAAATTTATTGCGAAAGAATTAAAAAATAGCATGGTACCTGATGTTGTTAATAAGATGGAGGAATTTTAGTCTGGTGCAATCTAAAATCATCATCATTATTTGATTTGACCCTTTTCTGCCATCAAATATGATGTTATAAATGGAGGAACCAACAATTTTACGTCGGCAAAAATTCCAGATGACTTGCGGTGACTATATTTTCAGTACGAGGGAAACGAGTCGTCGCGCTCACGACATTCATCAAAATTGCCGACTTTGTCACCGATGATGATTTTCTGTTGCGTAAAATATTTAGTTCATGGCCGATACGAGCATTAAAATTGTCTCGCGATATTAATTCAATTATTTTCAACGTGAATCGCCGTTGCGCCGAGTTACAATAAATGAAAATTTCACTATTCTGAAATACTACAATCTGATCTTTGGTTTAAGATAATTTTAGGATATCACCGTTTGCAAAATCCCAATGTCTGAGTACAATTTAATACGATAAAGTAAAAGCATAATAACTTTAATGCAGTAAACTGGCGCCTCACAAACAAAATGTTTGGGAACCAATGGACTAAGCAATAGTTACCGATTGAAAATTTCGAGATAATTTAGTTTACCGACATAATTTCGATGTTCTCGGCTTAAATCGGTGTTTTTAACTTAATTTTAATCACCGAGAATGCGCAATTGCCCCTATCGCCCCGTTTCTTATCTCTTTTGCCCCCACTTTGGGAATCGTTGTACTAGACTAGACAAAAGGAAAGACATATGTTGGGGCATTCACAAACGCACAAAAAAATTTGCAGGCCCAAATGCTGATATATCAAGAGCTTGAGAGTTTTTTTAATGACTTAAATGTTTCGGAGGGATGATTTTTGCACACCATATTCAGGTGTTTGTAATACGCGATGAATTACGGTATTTACTTTGGCCGACGATCAGTTTCAATTTATATCATCGATATCTTCAACGGATATTTATATTCCTAAAAACTATGGTCATAATTTCAGCGGGCACAAGTGGGCCGGATGAAACACTCCGGTGGGCCGGATCCGGCCCGCGGGCCGTAATTTGCCCACCCCTGATCTAGCTAAACCCATCATTGTCATTTCTCATCAACTATTCCTCAAATTTATTCAACTTTTCTTTTAATTTTAGCAGTAGTGTTGATAATCTGAAATTGATTAATCACTAATAATGGGTTTCAACTGCTTAATGTTAGCTGTGTTTCTGCGTGGGTCAGTTTCTTCGGTATTTGCAGAAAAATGCGCGCTGCCCATCCCACAAGAAGAGCTTGATATTTCAAAGGTATGGATTTACCATTCACTCATTTATGAAACGAAAGAGTACCCTTTACCCTATTTCTATATTTCAAATAGTTTTTCATATATTAAAGAAAAATTGTTCAATGACCTATTATGCAATCGAGATACGTATTATTTATAAGTTGAATAAATATTTATGAATATAAATAAATCTTTGACGCAAGATAAAAAAAAAATCTAACTTATTACAATTTTTACTTACAGCTAGAAGACACAGTTTGGTACCTCGGAGTTCAAACTAACGACGCCGTTTCGGCAGCCGTGACATGTGCTCGAGGGAACAATTTTACAATAACTTCTACTGGATTCAGTGTTCATATGGAAGAATTTGGTCCTGGGTAGGTTGCTTGTATTTATTTTCGGACATATCATAACTTTCATTCTCTTCAATAGCTTGACACAACTCGTGAAACTCTCGACATTTCCTAGTTCACTAATCGTTACATACAAGTTAATCAACCAATAAGTAGCGAGGATTGATAGACACATGGTGATCAACATGACCTTTGACCGATTATGACCTGTACAACAATAAAAAGCCACCAGATATCAACTTACGCGAAATCGGAACCTCGACAAGGAGCGCAATTCTTACTTGATGACGTCGTCGCACACAAGAAACGAATCCCATAGAAGCCACAGAAACTTTTGAAATATAATAGTAATAAATAGCTTTCTAGCAAAATACACTATCTTCAACAATAAGATTTCAAAGCTATTGATCCAGTAATTAATTATAAAAGCGATTTTTTTAGTACTATAAGAAGAAGAATACCAACAAAAACCAAAACAACAACATCATGACAGAACAAAAGAAATACACTTTGTGTTAAATAAGCTGTCAAAACTCAACCCATTCACATCCAATGATATTAAACAATTTGCAATGAGATGTAGTACACAATTTTCTGTCCCCGAATCAAGTAATGCCTATATTTTAGGTCCCACAGAGCTGATTTGATCAGTCACTTTATTCGCCATAGACAAGGAGTTTACCACCGAAGTCCTAAAGACGGTATGACGTATACATTATTATTTATTTACAATCTATATAGTTTGTTGTACTAGTCTCCAATAGGCCTTTAAAGCAGTCTTCTATGCTTTCAATTTTAGCTTGAAACATAAAACTAATTATATTTTTTGTGACATACAACTGACTGTAGTACCACTATTTTACAGAACCGTCTTTAAAAGTTGCACACGAGTACACGTTGGACAGAAAAATTAATGCCGAAGCGCGGAAAATAGGTAGGTTTATACGTGGGCCTAACAAACATTTTTCCATGCAATTTTGCGGCATTTAGAGTGAGACATAAATTCTTACGTCTTTTTCAACACCATTTTGCTCTATTCTTGAACGATTTACTGAAACCCGACGTTTCCTGGTTTACTATCATTAATACTTTCTCCGAATGAACCAACCGAGACTGATGAAACTATGTCTTTATGTAACTAGAAAAACTTCGTCAACAAATTTTTCAGGATATTGTTAGATATCAGTGGCTGTATTTGTCTAGCCTTGTTTGGAGCAAAAGGCACGTGTAAGCGTCGTATTACGACATTATACAAAAAATAAAATTGTCCCCTACCCTCTCTAAAAAAATGGGGGGTGCTACGATTTTGTGTCTAGAAAACATTTGACAACCCCTATCTAGATTAAAGTACCTAATTTAGCTTTAAAATGACTCATTCTGTTATGAAGAGTGATTTCTGATGAGTGCGGAAAGAAATAAAATTTAAAACTTAGAGTCTACATTTACATATGGCCATCCATTTCGTAGTATACCGTCAGTCTATGCGTGGATTTTTTCAGTTCGAAATATCTTCTAATATGGTCTGATGTCAATCATCTTCTCAATATTCACTTCAGTTAATGACATTTTCATCTTTTAATTACCTAACTCTAAATACATAACACTTGAATAGTACGGACAATAGCTAATTCCGTAATAAAACCTAAAATAAAACACCAAAATAACTGTATTACAGTAATGTCATCCTACTGACTGACAACAAAATAAATATGCCCATCATAAACTAAAGACCATAAAATCAGAAACAAACACAGTTGGTATGCTACATAGAAACTTACAATAATTTTACAGACATATGCTGAATATCCGATACTCTGAACACTTTATAGTGATAATCACTATATTTCAAAATTAAAATTGATATTATTTCTATTTCCCGGCTCTATGATATTTTAATATTGTTCCTACTTAGATGAGGAAAACTTGCTCAAAAAGGATTACTTATTTATAACCGATTATTCCAATTACTTTGGAGTAATGCTATGTCCCGCAGAAGGTGAGTAAACTGTATTTTTATTTTTGAGTAACATTAACATTCTTTCATTGTGCTAGAATTATAATTAAACTCCATATGAAAAGTTATACTAACCAATAAGCAAGCCATTTTATGAAGAGATCAGTGATTATTGAGCGGGTTTCCAAACACAGTGTAGTCCATGGGTCCCACCAGTTTACTTGCAAATCCTAGAGTTTATAACATCATTTGACCATTATTTGAATATAATCAAATACCTATTGTTCTGCCAGTATTCGGCGTGCTTTTATACATATTCATAGTTCGTAAAATTCTTCTATCTGTCAAAAACAAGACCGCAAACCTTAAAAGAAAGCAATTAACGACAGACTCAAGTTTCTCATCGATTTATATGAGAATAAATGTAAATTTATTTAGTTCGTATTTTTATTCTACAAAGATCTGAACATAAGTATTTTAATTTTATTAATCAAATGATGTTTTGCATAGGACAAGTAAACCATTGCGCAGGGAGTCGTCGAACCTTGGTAATGTTTCAATGGTTTTTCAATTCACTTGAATAACTAATAACCTAGGCCTTTGATGCACAATGGTTCAAGATTATTGTTGTTGGGTGTGGCTTACTATAAGTTAAAGATCGAATATCTCCCCTGCTACATATTTGATTGATATAGGTTTGCTGTGAACATCAGGAACATTACTTCATTTTTATCTTGATAGAGTAAGCTTTCTAACTTGGTACATTTTACACATATTTATGGCTTATTTACAGGAGAATGGCTCCTCTGGAATTACTTCAAGCAACCAAAGCCATCTCTCAATAGTGTCATCAAATTCTACAACAAACTCCACGAACTTGGTGTCTCTGCTCGTTTTCATGCATCTCGTTGCAATGAAAAATATTTCACCGAATAGAAGATGAATAACTAAACGTTTGATACCGTCACAACTTATATATTCTTTTATTTCGTATAACCAGTTTCTATTTCCAACGGAAGTTTTCATTGGATTATTGTCAACTAAAATACCTTATCATGTCTTAATTAATAGACAAGTGTTCTAATCTGTGGTAGCTGTTTCATGTATTTTTATTGTTATCATTTTTGTTGAAGGTGGGCCATGTTTCATAATTGGTCATTCTTGCAAACATTTGTCACATCAATCATTCACATAAATCATTTTTATTCAATCGTTGATTAATTCTATTCGGTTGATTGCGATAATTAGTGCTCTGTGATAACATCTCGCTCCAAATCCGATATCAAAGAAGTAAATACTCGCTTTAAAAGATATAAATATGTTTAAAAAAAATTCCTAGTTGTTCAGTTCATGGTAAATGTTTTGTATATATATCTTATACTACTGTATAATCTAGAAGTATTATGGTTCGTGAATGTTATATGTAACATATGCTAATTAATAAAATTTATTCGGAATATCGTTTTGCGTCTAAAAGTTTTTTCTGGTGCCGAATAAATCGCACAGTGACGCATAGTGTTTATATCATATTTGAAACAAGGAAGCACTGCTCAAATACATGGACACAAAAGCCAAAACGAAATAATTCACCCACAATTTCCGCAAGATCATATCCTGGACGAAACTGAACATGTGGACCATCGTAGCTTACTGGTACCGATACCCGGGCTGCCCTATCTTTACCAGGTCCTGAAACAATGATGGTACACGTGCTGATGATTCTTGTGCCAATGTTAATAGAAAAACTAAATGATTCGACTCACAACTGTGGTAATTATTAATTTGAAGTACTTTACAGTGTGTCGGCATTGAAAAACTTTCGACTTTCGCGTAGCTAGATTTTGCCAAATCAAAGCGCAAGACAGTCCTGACGCTTGGCGAAATAGAAATCGTGTTCCCATGAATAAAAAAAATAATACAGCAAGATTTTGATAAAATATCAGATCTCATGGGATTCATGGAAAATTTAGGAATAAATGAAAGTAATCGATTTCTTGCGAAAAATACATGTTCAACCAAATTTTAAAGCAATTGGTCCAGTAATTAAAGAAAAAGGCGCTTTTTCATAACGATAGGTAGAAAATTAAAACATGAAGAACAAGAACAACACTCAAACTTAAAATTTCGGTTTAATGCTCGCCAGTATATTTCTAGTATTCACGTTTGTGATTGTGACGTAAGCAATGACGCCACTAAACAACATCTTTCTGAAATTTTCGATATACTTTAACAAGAAAATTCGCATCGGTGATTTTGGCTCCATCAGTGATGTCGTCGCGAATATGATGCGTTCAGCGCCTGCCGTGTATTCGGACAATACCCGTAATTATCATCATGAGTGTACGGAACAGACAGTTCATGCGAGCAATGTTTACATTGCACAATATTTCAGCTTAATAGAAAATTAAATATTTCAGAATTAGAAATTGATGTTTATGATCCACATGGAGTGTCACGAGAGTTTTTATTATATCACTAAATTAACTGCATTGTGAATTGCTTTGTAACTTTTTAACTGTATACAAAGATGGCTCTGAGTCAGATACCGCGAACATGAGCCCTACACGCAAATAAATAATTTCAACATCCGCATACTAACATAAAACATTCTAAAATCAGAAAGTTGATTATATCAGTCTACATTAAGCTGATGCCAATACATACCTAGTACAAACACACTAAATGTTTCTCGGACAGACCTTGTAAGCCAAACAACACCTTCGAATAAAAATCAAATCGTGTGGCACCAAATTGTGTGGCGCGTCGTGCTAAACAGGGATGGGCAATTACACTCCTGAATGGGCCGGATGCGGATAACAGACTTAGTTACTGGGCCGGATGATCAAAATTCAGTATGATCAGAAACGGTTATTTGCAAATACCTAGAGTCCTAGACACAATGATCAATGGGCCGTTATTACAGGGGCTGGCAAATTACGGCAGCAGCGCAAAGAAAGTTGATAGAAAAAAAAGCTTAACAGCTGGGCTAATGGGTTATGATAACGTTAATAATAAAGATAGCACAATGTAACAATTGCGGTCATGATGACCGTATTTGATGAATAGATTATTCAAATCCAAAGAGAATAAATGATGCGCATTCCTGTCGTTTACGATTAGCTTAAATTACTGTAACTTGGGATTTAGGAGGCAAGTGTTATTTGATTTCACCGTTGATGGTTTTTCTGTTGCGCAAAATATTCAGTTCAAGACTATTACGAGAATTAAAAATGTCTTGCAATATCAATTTAATATATAATATAATTAGTTTAATTATATATTAAGAAAAGGAGCGATCTTGGTCATTTGAATAATTTGAGCCACTTAAGATTATTTTTAAGAAATCCCCATTTGCAAAATTCCAAGGTCGGTCATAAAATCCCATGAGTACAATTCATGACGATAAAGTAAAAGCATTGCGACTTTGAAATAATGCAGCGATATGGCGCAGCACAAACACATATTTGGGAACTGCTGGGATTTGCTTTAGTTTCCGATCTGATGAAAAATAACAAATTTTTTGGGAATTACCAGGTTAAAAATAGAGCTTTGAAAACGAAATTTATGATGTTCTGCATTAGATTCTGTGATATATATATATCTTATGACTCCGTTACTATCTTACAATAATCACTTCCTCATTTTCAGTCGCTGATTGGATTTGCGGATTAAATTTTTAGTTTGTATTTAGTCTCTCGTTTCAGATGACCACACAATATGGAGTTTTGCACACTTCACGCACAGTTCCAAGGAAATCCTTTTCTCGACGTCCTCATAATACAGGGATAATTCCCTGTAATATAGTTTACCGATATATTACTGATGTTCACGTCTTAAATACCCATGACATACTGAAGTAACTATCAGCGATTTATATCCCCCCTGTACTAGACAACGGTGAACAAAATGTATTGGGACATCCACGAACACGCGCGTAGCAAAATGCAGACCAAAATGCTGATATTTCAGGAGCTGGCGTTTTTGAGTTATTGTACAGAAATTATTCAGATGGTTTTATGTTTATATTCAGGGCTGATAGTACGTGTAGAATTACAATATTTACATTTGCGGACGATTTGTTGTTACTCCGAACTCTTCAACGATAATTTTTTTGCATGAAAACTATAGCCTAATTTCAGCACGAACAAGTGGGCCCGATAAAACACTAAAGTGGGCCGGATCCGTCCCGCGGGCCGTAATTTGCCCACCCTTATGCTAAGAGGAATACGCTCGACACCGCACTGCGGGGTGGTTCACGTATCCGCTGGTCGGTTACGGCTTCCTCGCCATCGAGTTCATGCATCTGGAAACAAATAACTGGATAACTATTCCCATACCAGACATGCATGGACTGGTAATCGGAAGAGGGGCCGCGGCTCGCCATATGAATCCACGCCGTCCTATCGGCTTCCATCTCCCCCGGGATAAATTGTTTGAATCTTAATCTATCCCAATGTTTCTCAGGCCGAACAACATTTCAGAGTTGTTCAAACCCGCAACTGGCTTGGAGCGCATTTTTTAAACTTGCATTCAGTAAGACAATCATTTCATAACTGGTATGGGCTTCACCGCCATGTACTGTGCATTCAAATGAAAAAAGTGTATAATTATGGCAAGTAATCTTCCATCCAATTCTCCCATTTGACAACATTGCAAAATATGTTATCTTGATTACGCAGTTTCCCTGAATGACTTAAACCAAGATGTCAATTGCATATAAAGCAATGTATTAGCAAAGTAATAAGATCCACCAGAGAAGTAAAATCTTTCTTTTTCTCAGAACTTCAGTGATAAAAACTTTGTATCCAGTGCGCACTGACACGTTTATTAGTTTGGACAAATTCTGTGAGAAAAATACAATAACATTTTGCTGATAATTCTGCTACAGAATCAATTATTTAGTAGAAAGTTGCTCAATTTCATGAGGGAAATTTTAGTAAATTGACTGCCCCAAAATCCTAAGTACTTCGCCATTGAGGGTTAAAATAAATTGACACCTGGTCTATCCGCAAACCAAACTCAGAATAGGGAAACGCAGAATGGTAAAACTACTGAACGCTGGGTAAACCCTTAGTATTTTGCAATTTCAGCGAAGCAAATGGTGTCTTAATAACACTGCAAACTATCCAACATTGAATCTGACGTTGCTGATCATTTTCGCGCTTGAGTATTAATTGAACAAATATTTTTTGAATGTTTATGATTAAACTGTTAAATACAACTGCATTAAATTTACAACCGCATCCAGATGCACATTTCTAAATAAAATACTTATAGAATGAGACTCGAGTTCAGCTTTGAACTGATGGCTTCGCTGCGGAGTGCGGGCACAATAAGTATCCTTGCAGCTATATCTTATATTATACCCACTTATGATGAAGCTCTTTCTATATCAGTGGTTTCCGTATCTCTTCTTCGGGCCAAGGATTTTCGACACTTTGTTTTGCATATTTTTTAGACTAGAGTTCTAAAGAAAGCTTTGTAATAAATCGATTCTTCAGAAACAAAATAAATGTTTATACTGTCAATCAAATCCCTCCAAGTGTGTTTATGTAAAACAGGTCACGGTGAAATTCACCAAAAGTGATATCATCTAGGAAATGGCCTTTTTATTCTGTCTTTACTGGCTGCATTTGATTGTAGATTCTACGCTCGTAAAGTATTGCATGGGATGCTCGTGGTGAAAGTGGTGGTTATCAAAAGATTTTTTATTCTCCTGCAAAACCTCATCAGAATATCCAGGCTTCGCTGCAATTTAGTTAAAATATAATTTGTCATAATAATAAGAGAGACAAATGGGCTAGGCTACTTGCTTTACAGCAACTGTTACATAACAAGTGCGGACCCGATTAAAATGAAGGCGGTGCAGAAATTTTATTATTAATCATTTATGGGAATGAGTAAGAGGGGATAATGCAAGAAGTTTGAGTTATGGTACATAAGGACCCAAACATGAAGTTAATGATAAGACTTGAGTCCGTATCAATCTAGCAAGACTCATCATGGTCATTTTTATGAACTATTCCTCAAATTTATTCAACTTTTTTTAAATTTTAGCAGTAGTGTTGATAATTTAAAATTGATTAATCACTAATAATGGGTTTTAATTGCCTAATGTTGGCTGTGTTTCTGTGTGGGTCAGTTTCTTCGGTATTTGCAGAGAAATGTGCGCTGCCCATCCCACAAGAAGAGCTTGATATTTCAAAGGTATAGATTTACCATTCACTCATTTATGAAACGAAAGCGTACCCTTTACCCTATTTCTATATTTCAAATAGTTTTTTGTTCAATGACCTATTATGCAATCAGTACACGTATTATTCATAAGTAGAATAAATATTTATGGATATAAATAAATCTTTGACGCAAGATAAAAAGTCCAACTTATTTCAATTTGTACTTACAGCTAGAAGACACAGTTTGGTACCTCGGAGTTCAAACTAACGACGCCGTTTCGTCCGACGTGACATGTGCTCGAGTGAACAATTTTACAATAACTTCTACGGGATTTAGTGCTCATTTGAAGGAATTTGGTGCTGGGTAGGTTACTTGTACTCATTTTCGAACATAGGTATCACAACTTTTATCGTCTTCAATAGCTTGACCTAACTCGTGAAACGCTCGATACATTTCCTGTTTCACTAATCGTTATATACAAGTTAACACATGGTGATCAAAGTGATCTTCGACCGGTTTTTCATGACCATAAGAAAAAGAATACCAACAAGAACAAAAACATAATATCATAAATCATAACAGAACGAAACATATTTACACTTCGTGTCGAATAAGCTGTCAAAATTCAACCCAAAAACGCTCAATGAGTTTTTTGTAATAGGTGTTAGTACAAACTTTTTTGTCCTCAAATCAAGTAATATATGCATTTTAGGTCTCACAGAACTGATTTTATCAGTCACCTTATACGCCATAGACTGGGAGTTTACCACCGAAGTCCCGAAGAAGGTACGGTGTATGCATTAATTAATATATATTTACAATGTATATATATAGATAGTTACACGATACTCTCCAATTTTTATACTTTCAATCTTTTAGCTTAAAACATAAAATAATTTCTAGCATACAACTAACTGTAGAACTTTTATATTACAGAACCATCTTTAAAAGCCGCACACGAGTACACGTTAAATGGAAAATTTAATGCCGAAGCGCGTAAAATAGGTATATATGTCTATACATAGGCTTAACCAACATGTTCTAATGAAATTCTGCGGCATTTGCAGTACGACATAAATTCTCACGTCTTTTTCCACACCATTTTGCTCTATGCTTGAACGATTTACCAAAAAGCCGACGTTTCCTGACTTACTATAGCCTTTATAAATATATTTTTGTTGTTGTGTATTGAAGGCAGATGGGAGTGGTCCAATCCTTAGCCCTACATTACTACCATTAATCCTTTCTGCAAATAAACCAACCAAGATAGGCTATATGCAAACTTGCTCTTTTGTAGCTTGAATGACTTGGATGCTTTTATCTACCCGTGTTCGGAGCAAAATGCGCGAGTAAGAGTCGTATTACCTCATTATACAAAAAAATCCTAATAAAAAGTTACCTCTTTTAGTTCTAGAATTACTCATTCTGGTATAAAAAATGATTTTTGCTTAAGGTGAAAATAATGTGGTCTGATGTCAATCGTATTCTCAATATTCCTGAACAATCTCAATACAACCAAGTACTCTAATGAAATCACCAGAACAAAAATGATGCAATGAAAATAACAAATACCTGATATCCCGATGTAAGAAAAACAAGATATATATATATATTCAATAAAAGACCTGAATATTGAAGACAAAACCAAAAATCAAGTACAAAATCGGGAAAAAAACTAAAATCCGGCGCATTACAGCTAACTAACTTATTATTCACAAAATAAGCTGAAAACAACTCAATATTTTAAAAGACGATAAACACTTCCTCAGATACATAACACTTGAACAGCATTGACAATAGATAATTCCGTCGCAAAACCTTAAATAAAACCACAAAATTGTAATTGCACTATGATCAAACAGTAATGTCATCCTACTGACAAACTACGAAATATCTATCATAAGCTAATGACTATAAAATCAGAAATAAATACTCTTGGTATTCTAAGAACTTGCTTAGCCTACTTAACTGATTACCACAGATTGACATTGCTACAGCGCCAGTAGTGTCTCGGACAATAAAATACAAAATCTAACATTATAACAAATAATGGTGTTATAAATTTATAAATACGGGTCGTCACACTTTAAAACACGGATTTATTTTTTTGATTCCAGCCATTTTATGAACACAAATTTAAATTTCCAGAAAATCATTGCATAATTTTGTTGCGGAAAAGTCCATTTAGGTGATTTTAATGATGTTGGGAATTTCGTCATCCATATTAATTTAGTCTGAATTCCATCCATAAAATAAAAATTTTAATATCGATAAATGAGCGCAACCGATGGACAAAAATGTTTTATTTTCATGCTGAATATCCCGCACTTTTCTTTTCAGATTGTATAGTGATAACCATATATTTCAAAATTAAAATTATTGCAATTTTCCGACGCTATTATACGTTAATACTGTTCCTACCTAGATGACGAAACCTTGCTCAAAGACGATTTCGTTTTAATAGCCGATTATTCCAATTACTTTGGAATCATATATTGTTCCGCAGAAGGTGAGTAAACTATATTTTTATTTATGAGTATCATTAACATCGTTCCGTTAAGATAGAATTATAATTCATCTTCATATGAAAAGTTACAATATCCAATAAGCAAGCGAGCCATTCATTGACTAAGTCAGTGGTTCTTAACCGGGGTTCGGCGGAACCCAGTACAGTTCATGAGTTCCGCAAGTTTACTTTCAAATCCTAGAGTTTATATTATGATTGTTTGAATATAATCAAATGCGTATTGAGTTTGTTGCTATTGTTTCGCCAGTATTTGGCTTGCTTTAATATATATTTATAGTTCGTACAATTCTTCTAACTGTCAAAACACGATACAATCTTAGAAAAATAATGTATTTTTTTTACAGTATATGTTTTTATTATAAGAAGTTTTGAACATGTGTATTTTTATTTTATTATTCAAACTACCCATTAATGCACAATGGTTCAAGATTAATTTTGATGCTTGTAACTTAGGCTTCTATAAGTTAAAATAAGAAGTATAGATCGAATATCTGTGACCATTTGATTGATAACATTCGCGGTGAACATCAGTGACTTCGTATTTATTTTCAAGTTGTCAGAGTAAACTATCTAACTTTGTACATTTTACTCCTAATTAGGGATGGCGGAATCGAGTCTGGATTCGATTACATAATCGATTCTCCGCGGAATCGACTAGAATCGATTCTTAAGGTTAGAAGATGGATTGCAAATAATGTGTAACGTTTTTTGGCAATTCCTTCACATATACGAGGTGTGGCTAAAAAGAAACGAGACTGACGTCACAGATTGCGCAACACGATTAACCATTGGTAATCAACACTTTTACAGTGTGGTGTAATATGTGTTCTTTGTTCAACAGCTTTTTTGACACAATATCGCAATTATTTTTGCTCTTTAGGAGCCATAGGTGAATGTGATTAATTGCTTGTTGAAAAAAAAATTGCCGTGCGAGATCTGATTGAGTTTTTTGGCGATAGGGGGTTCAATTGCAGAATGACGATTGAGCAATGAATTAACATTAAATTTTGTGTCAAACTTGGAAAAACGGCGACTGCGACTTTGAAGAAATTGTGTGATGTTTATGGAGATTCTTCCATGTCCAGAACAAGAGTTTTTGAATGGCACAAGCGATTTGTGGGATGCAGGGAGGATGTGGAGGATGATTCGAAGTCAGGAAGGCCTTGCACTTCCACAACTGATACCAACATCGAAAAGGTATCAGTTGTGAGTTCAGTTGTGAAAGGCAGTTGATTCGCAGCGACCGTCGCTCAACAATTCGCGTCATTGCGAAGTTGGAAAAGACAAAAAAAAACGGTTCGCACCAGTTTGGTTGACACTTTTGGCTTGTGAAAGGTGAGTGCCAAAATGGTGCCAAGGCTGTTGACTGAGGAGCAGAAAGCTCAACGATTAAATGTTGCCCAGTTGACATGCATTTTTCCAAGTTTGACACAAAATTTAATGTTAATTCATTGCTCAATCGTCATTCTGCAATTGAACCCCTATCGCCAAAAAACTCAATCAGATCTCGCACGGCAATTTTTTTTCAACAAGCAATTAATCACATTCACCTATGGCTCCTAAAGAGCAAAAATAATTGCGATATTGTGTCAAAAAAGCTGTTGAACAAAGAACACATATTACACCACACTGTAAAAGTGTTGATTACCAATGGTTAATCGTGTTGCGCAATCTGTGACGTCAGTCTCGTTTCTTTTTAGCCACACCTCGTATGTATAAACTGCTCCACTGCTATGCTGAGTTGCTACGACGTCGCAAACTTCTCTATATATATAATATATATATGTGTATATTTTACGCTATATATATTCGAAAGCATTTACGTTTATTTATTTCAAAAGTCTCGGTGGGTTCTAAGGGGTTCGTTTTCTTGTTTTGTGCGATTTTGTTTACTGTGACATATTGAATATCCATACTACTAGTTTTGGGCTTCTTGTCTATTCACATATTTGAACATAGTCCTCGTTTTGATTTCATATATATATGTATTGTTTAAAAGTGGGTATGTTTTCTCGGTAAGATATGTCGAAGAATCGAGATTCGGAAACGAAAATTTAGGAATCCGATAAGAATCGAATACTTGTAGATCATACTTAGCATTCTTACTCATAATTAACGCTTATTCACAGGAGAATGGATCCTCTGGAATTACTTCAGACAACCAAAGCCATCTCTACATAGTATCATCAAATTCTACAACAAACTTCATGAACTTGGTGTCTCTGCTCGTTTTCATGCATCTCGTTGCAATGAAAAATATTTCACCGAATAGAAGAAAGATAATCGAACGTCGATACCGTCACAACCTATACATTCTCTCACTTCGGATAACATAACCAGTTACTACTTCCACTAAGATTTTTAATATTCATTGTTGCTGAAGGTTGAGCCGTGTTGCCGGTGTTTCGCAATCGTACAAACATGTGTCACATCAATCATTCTCATAAACCATTTTTATTCATTCGTTGATTAATTCTATTCGGAGGATTGCGATAATTAGTGCTCTGTGATAAAATCTCGCTCAAATTTCGGTATCGGAGAGGTTAATATTCGCTTTGTAAAAGATATAAATATATTTTTAAAGTTCATTCTAGTTGTTCAGGTGATGGCCAATGTTTGGGATATATATCTTATATTATTGTATAATCTAGAGGTATTATAGTTCGTGTATGTTATTCGAAACATAGGCTAATTAATAAAATTTATCCGGAAAATTGTTTGTGGTCCCAAATGTTTTTCTGATGCCGAATAAATCGCACAGTGACGCATAAGTGTTTATATCATATTTGAAACAAGATAGCACTGCTCAAATACATTTACACGAAAGTCAAAACGAAATATTTTACCCACAATTTCCCAAAAATCATATCCTGGACGAAACTGAACCTGTGGACCATCATAGCTTACTAGTATCGATACCCGGGCTGCCCTATCTTTTCCAGACCCTGAAACAATGATAGTACATGTGCTGATGATTCTTGTGCCAATGATAATAAAAAAAACTAAATGATTCGACTCACAACTGTAGTAATTATTAATTTGAAATACTTTACAGTACTTTTTTTACAGTAACTTACCATGTCGGCATTGAAAAACTTTCGACTTTCGCGTAGCTAGATTTGCCAAATCAAAGCACAAGACAGTCGTGACGCTTGGCGAAATAGAAATCGTGTTTCCATGAATAAAAAAGTAATACAGCGAAATTTTGATAAAATATCAGATCTCATAGGATTCATCCGAAATTTAGGAATAAATGAAAGTAATAGCCTTCTTGCAAAAAATACATGTTCAACCAAATTTTAAAGCAATTGGTCCAGTAATTAAAGAGAAAAGCGCTTTTTCATACCGATAGGTAGAAAAATTATAATATGAAGAACAAGAACAACACACAAACTTAAAGTTTCGGTATAATGCTCGCCAGTATATTTCTAGTAATCACGTTTGTGATTCTGACGTAATAAGCAATGACGTCCCTAAACAACATCTCTCTAAGACCTCCGATACACTTTAACAAGAAAATTCGCATCAGTGATTTTGACGTCATCAGTGATGACGTCGCGAATCTGATGCGTTCAGCGCCTGCCGTGTATTCGGACAACACCCGTAATTATCATTATAAGTGTACGGAACAGACGGGATACAACAGTTTATACGAACAATATTTACAGTGCACAATATTTCAGCTTAAAAATTTAATATTTAAGAAATAAATTGATGTTTATGAACCACATGGAGTGTCACGAGAGTTTTTATTAAAATACTGAAATAACTGCATCGTGAATTGCTTGGTAATTTTTTAACTGTATACAAAGATAGCTCTGAGTAAGATACGGCGAACATGAGCCTTCACGCAAATAAATAATTTCAACATCCGCATACTAACATAAAACATTCTAAAAGCAGAAAGCTCAATATATCGGTCTACATTTAGCTAATATCGATACATAAAGGTTTCTTGGACAGGCCTTGTAAACCAAACAACACCTTCGAATCAAAATCAAATCGCTGGTCGGTTACGGCTTCCTCGCCATCAAGTCCATGCATCTGGAAACAAATAACTGGATAACTATTTCCATACCAGACATGCATGGACTGGTAATCGGAAGAGGGGCCGCGGCTCGCCATATGAATACACGCCGTTCTATCGGCTTCCATCTCCCCCGGGATAAATTGTTTGAATCTTAATCTATCGTAATGTTTCTCAGGCCGAACAACATTTCAGAGTTGTTCAAACCCGCAACTGGCTTGAAGCGCATTTTTTGAACTCGCATTCAGAAAGACAATCATTTCATAATTGGTATGGGCTTCACCGCCATGTACTGTGCATTCAAATAAAAAAAAGTGTATAATTATGGCAAGTAATCTTCCATCCAATTTTCACATTTGACAACATAGCGAAATATGTTATGTTGATTAATCAGTCTGCCTAAGTGACCTAAACCAAGATGTCAATTGCATATAAAGCAATGTATTAGCAAAGTAATAAGATCCACCAGAGAAGTTAAATCTGTTTTTTCAGAACTTAAGTGATAAAAAACTGTGTATCCAGTGCGCACTGACACGTTTTTCGTCTGGACAAGTTTCTGTTGAGAAAATACAATACCACTTTGCTGATAATTCTGCTACAGAATCAATTATTTAGTAGGAAGTTGCTCAATTTCATGAGAAAAATTGTAGTAAATTGACTAATGTTTATGATAAACTGTTAAATATAACTGCATTAAATTCACAACCGCATCCAGATGCACATTTCTGAATAAAATATAGAATGAGACTCGAGTTCAGGTTTGAACTGATGGCTTCGCTGCGGAGTGCGGACACAGTAAGTATCCTTGCAGCTATATTTTATATTATACCCACTAGTAAGCTCTTTCTACATCAGTGGTTTACGTATCTCTTCTTCAAGGATTTTCAAAGACACTTTGTTTTGCATATTCTTTAGACTAGAGTTCTAAAGAAAGATTTGTAATAAATCGATTCTTCAGAAACAAAAATTTTGTTTATACTGTCAATCAAATCCCTCCAAATGTGTTTATGTAAAATACGTCACGGTCAAATCCATCAAAAGTTAGATCATCTAGGAAATTGCCTTTTTATTCTGTCTTTACTGGCTGCATTTGATTGTAGATCGAAAGATTTTTTATTCTCATGCAAAACCTCATCAGAATACCCAGGCTTTGCTGCGATTTAGTTATATAATTTGTCATTTTCATTCAATTGCGTCATTTTAAGCAAATATGTATAATGCGAGATGAAGAGAGACAAATGGGCTAGGCTACTTGCTTTACAGCAACTGTTACATAACAAGTGCGGACCCGATTAAAATGAAGGCGGTGCAGAAATTTTATTATTAATCATTTATAGGAATGAGTAAGAGGGATAATGCAAGAAGTTTGAGTTATGGTACATAAGGACCCAAACATGAAGTTAATGATAGGACTTGAGTCCGTGTCAATCTAGCTAAACCCATCATTGTCATTTCTTATCAACTAATTCCTCAAATTTATTCAACTTTTCTTTTAATTTTAGCAGTAGTGTTGATAATCTGAAATTGATTAATCACTAATAATGGGTTTCAATTGCTAATGTTAGCTGTGTTTCTGTGTGGGTCAGTTTCTTCGGTATTTGCGGAGAAATGCACGCTGCCCATCTCACAAGAAGAGCTTGATATTTCAAAGGCATGGATTTACCATTCACTCATTTATGAACGAAAAGAGTACCCTTTACCCTATTTCTATATTTCAAATAGTTTTTCATATATTAAAGAAAAATTGTTCAATGACCTATTATGCAATCGAGATACGTATTATTTATAAGTTGAATAAATATTTATGAATATAAATAATCTTTGACGCAAGATAAAAAAAAATCTAACTTATTACAATTTTTACTTACAGCTAGAAGACACAGTTTGGTACCTCGGAGTTCAAACTAACGACGCCGTTTCGGCAGCCGTGACATGTGCTCGAGGGAACAATTTTACAATAACTTCTACTGGATTCAGTGTTCATATGGAAGAATTTGGTCCTGGGTAGGTTGCTTGTATTTATTTTCGGACATATCATAACTTTCATTCTCTTCAATAGCTTGACACAACTCGTGAAACTCTCGACATTTCCTAGTTCACTAATCGTTACATACAAGTTAATCAATTAATATGTAGCGAGGATTGATAGACACATGGTGATCAACGTGACCTTTGACCGATTATGACCTATACAACAATAAAAAGCCACCAGATATTAACTTGGCGAAATCGGAACCTCGACAAGGAGCGCAATTCTTGCTTGATGACGTCGTCGCACACAAGAAACGAATCCCATAGAAGCCACAGAAACTTTTGAAATATATAGTAATAAATAGCTTTCTAGCAAAATACACTATCTTCAACAATAAGATTTTAAAGCTATTGATCCAGTAATTAAATATAAAAGCGATTTTTTTAGTACTATAAGAAGAAGAATACCAACAAAAACAAAAACAACAACATCATGACAGAACGAAAGAAATACACTTTGTGTTAGATAAGCTGTCAAAACTCAACCCATTCACGTCCAATGATACCAAGCAATTTGCAATGAGATGTAGTACACACTTTTTTGTCCCCGAATCAAGTAATGCCTATATTTTAGGTCCCACAGAGCTGATTTGATCAGTCACTTTATTCGCCATAGACAAGGTGTTTACCACCGAAGTCCTAAAGACGGTATGACGTATACATTATTATTTATTACAATCTATATAGTTTGTTGTACTAGTCTCCAATAGGCCTTTAAAGCAGTCTTCTTGCTTTCAATTTTTAGCTTGAAACATAAAACTAATTATATTTTTTGTGACATACAACTGACTGTAGTACCAGCTATTTTACAGAACCGTCTTTAAAAGTTGCACACGAGTACACGTTGGACAGAAAAATTAATGCCGAAGCGCGGAAAATAGGTAGGTTTATACGTGGGCCTAACAAACATTTTTCCATGCAATTTTGCGGCATTTAGAGTGAGACATAAATTCTTACGTCTTTTTCAACACCATTTTGCTCTATTCTTGAACGATTTACTGAAACCCGACATATCCAGGCTTACTATCACTAATACTTTCTCCGAATGAACCAACCGAGGCAGATGAAACTATGTCTTTATGTAACTAGAAAAACTTCGTCAACAAATTTTTCAGGATATTGTTAGATATCAGTGGCTGTATTTGTCTAGCCTTGTTTGGAGCAAAAGGCACGTGTAAGCGTCGTATTACGACATTATACAAAAAATAAAATTGTCCCCTACCCT